TGCTTAAAGCCAGGACTTTAAGACCAGCCTGGGCAACATCGTGAGACCCCATCACTACAAACTAAAAAATAAATCAGCCGGGTGTGGTGGTATGTACCTGTGATTTCAGCTTCTCAGTGGGCTGAGGTGGGAAGATCACTTGAGCCTGGAAGATTGAGCCTGCAGTGAGCCATGATTGCACCACTGCACTCCAGCCTGAGTGACAGAGACTTTGTCTCAAAAAAAAATTAAAAATAAAGTACCACAAGCAAAGTCCAAATACAAAAACAGAAAAATATGTGTATTTTATTTTACATGAAGGATAATATCCCTAATCTAGAAAATACTCCTATACACTGATAAAGATCAACATCCCAATAGAAAATAGGTAAAGAAAATTAGAAGACACATAAAAGAAAAAAAGGTTCTCCAACTCATAAGAAAAACACAGAATAAAACTGTGCAAGGCGGCTGGCTGACACCTTGGCAGAACTGGCAAATGCAAACCTTGCTACCACTGTTAGCAATGGTGTGGCTCAGGGAGTGGACACTGGCACAACAGCTGAAGGACAACCTGGAAGTGTCGTCAAAATTATAAGAGTACATTCTTTTTGACCCAGTAATTGCACTTGTGAATTTATTCTACAATCATACTTGTCCACAAGCAATATGACGTGGGCAGCCAAGGCTAGTCACAGCAGGATTTTCTAGTCATGAAAAATGGAAACAATCTGAATGCCCATCGAGAAGAGACTGATTTTTAAAATCCTGGTATATTCATACATTGAAAATCTTCAAATGAGGAAAGTCTTCATAAGAATATGGAAAGATCTCAAAAATCTACTATTTAGTGAGAAAAGAAAAACCCAACAGTGTGCAGAGAAGTAGGAGATCTGGTCGGAGGAACCAGGTAGATGGCTGGGGGGTAACTATGCATTTTGGTATTTGAACCATATATTGTCTACCAAAAAAATCAGTATGTAATTTAAGCAATATATACAGGCAAAGTAATCTCACACTTAGTTCTATTTAATAACCATCCTGCTGAAGAGTGACATTATTTCTGTATCTTGGTAGAAGCATCATTCAGACAAACCTGGCTCCTCAGGCTTCAAGGATGAGGGATGGTCATGTTGGAGAACTCAACTAAGTTTAGTCTTAACAGTGGCTATTTCTGGGCAGGCAAAGTTCAGTAATTTCTCTAAAATAACTTAAAAATCTATGTATCTTCTCAAATAAGATAAAGTGAAACAGAAGGAAAAATGAATTCACTTCACTTCTCTATCACAGGCAACTCAGTGACACAATTATTCAGGTCATCTAAAATCTAGGTCAAAGTCTGGTCCCTCAAATGGAGTCTTCACCACTTCTTTGCAAAGAATGCTGTAAACACAAATCACATCACAGCCTAAACACTGCCAAAATATGTATCTTTTCTCACAGTCCTAATGTCACTCCCTCTCTCCGATCCCCAGCCCCTCTTTCCACCTTTTGTTCAGGTCCCATGGTCTCAGAAGGCAACCCCCACGACCCCTTCCCCCCGCCGCAGACCAGGTGAACTC